AGACAGACAGACAGACAGACAGACAGACAGACAGACAGACAGACAGACAGACAGAGAGGGGGACAGGAGACACGAGTACTATGCACGTTACCATTTTCAAAGTTACGCAGGTTTAGTGCTTGTTAATAAAACAAATACTACGTTGTTGCTTGTTTCACTTGAAATTGTCGTTCCCTTTCTTTTGTGTAAAACTCTTGCTAAATTGTAGCTACTTTTGTTTCAGTAAAGAGAAGCACAACGACACAAGAACGACGATTTCGCGCAAGGATAAATAAAGCAAGACTTACAAACTGAAACAAACGACAAAAAAGAGAAATGGGGGGGGGGGAGAAATAGGACCTCTACTCGTGGCGCATTCAACCACCTGCTAAATGATTGCTTCCTGAAAGACGTAGAAGCACAAATAAAATAATAGGACGTGTGCTCACAAAATGAGTTGCTTCAAAGCTTCTAGCCTAAGTAAATTTAATACATCAACTTTACAGGTGGAGTTTGTACAATTTGTAAGTATGGAATAATAAAAGACATTGTAGACTTGAACGAAATAGCATCGATTAAAAATCTATAAATCTGACCCCAGTGTCAATTTTCGAGCAATATCTCCATTCTTGGATTGAGAGGAGTAACTCAGCCCGCCTCACCAATGCTTATTTTAAAAGATTTCTTTTGAAAAGTCATTTTCCTTCTGGAGAGAAACCAATACAGTTTTACAACATCCTGTGTTAACTCGTTGGAGATTTTGCGGAAACACAGTCTGTCCGATGAGCACAGAGCAAGGGCAATAGCAACGTTGCGGCTCTTGACTTTATAATTTAAAATATTTTTTAAAAACTTTTTCTGTTGTCGTTATTTGAAACTTTAAAAAGGCATACAATTAATGACGTGCATTCTATGAAATGCACAAACTTGTGTTGCCTATTTACGTATAATGACAACTAATCAATAATTTGTAACCAAAACAAAAGTTGGTCCGCATGCGCAGACATGGAATTGTGGAAACATGACGTCATAGACCGAAGGCCATATTGGATAGTGGTGACGTTTCACCATCTCGTATGGAAGTTGTCAGGGGACTGTAGTGCTGCTTACTATAGTGGGGTCAAAAATTCGTGGTGCAAGTTATCCTCAAATATCTCTTTAACGGGTGAACCAGTGTCATCCAATCTTTGCATAGCAGTTTGTAACAATTTGTCTTAACTAAATCATATCTTTCAAGAACAATTGGGGCTAAATCTAGGCTAAGGCCTAGGGCTAGATTAAAAAGAAAAACTTTCCTTCATAACTTTATATAAAATACTCTGTCACGCGTAAAATGGTATTGTTCACAGCACTTCCTACTTCTCACTCACATTCTAATTACGCATATGGCCTACGTCACAGCTCGTCAAAGACAATTTTTACTAGCAAACTAGTAACAAGAAACTATTGTTATAGTGAACACATTTTTGTACTTATGACTCTACATGCGTTCAATAAGCATAATGTCCCATTTAGAAAAACCTGACGGACTTGCTATTAAAAGCTATATTGTCCAAGCTGTAAACATTTAAAAATATGTAGAAACCACTCACTTGGATTTTTTAAATTGGTATTTATTAAGGAATTTTATTTTTTAAAAACCGCCTGTAGATGTTTACAAAAATGTTGATCTGTTAAGACAAATTAATACAAGTCACTGTGCAAAAATTGGAGAAGACATGTTCCATAGTTGAGGAGATATTTGGAAGTAAGTCGCACCCCGAATTTTTGACTGCACAATAGAGCTGGAACTGAGACACCACGGAATCTATGGAAGATACCGAGACACCACGGAAT